AGTGAATACCGATATCTGTAGGCAGACATTTGTTTCTTTTCCTTTAGGATTTGAACATCTACACAGGAGAGAAGATGCCTTCGTGCCATAGAATAACATAGAACAATATACAAAGCACATCATGCTTTGCAACCAATGCATGTTAAAAGGAAGAAAAAAAGATTGATTGTGGGAGTGCTACGACAGGGCCAGCTGTAAGAATATATTAGAAAAAAATCCTATGAATAATAATCTTAAAATGGCATAATACGTTAAAAACTATTAAATAGATTTGCTTTGAAGATACAAACACAAATGTTTCACATTAGCTGTACAAACACTCAGTGCATCATTATATATTATGACAAGTGAGGTTTTGGAGGGAACAGAGCAACTCTGCAAGAACCCAGCTCACTTGGCAAATTCCATTCAGCTGATTGCAGGCCAAATACGGCAGACGTGTTCCTCCCTTCATCTCAAAGCTTGCAGCCAACGGAGAACACAAATAGTCCAAACACCTGAAAATTACTGCGGTGAGATGTCAGTGAAGACAAAACACAGGAATGAACCGTCCAGCCCCAAGGTAAAATAATTAACATGTAAAAAGGAATAAATAATCCTATTCTATTTATCTCTCAAACCCTGTCAATTGGATTCTTTGCCAAATAGCTATCTAATTCCCTCTTGAATTTGCAGATGTTATCTGCCTCCCTTGGTATTCTATTCCACATATTCACCGCTCTCCGTGTAAAGTAGTTCAATCTACACTGTCTTAAATCTTCTGAGCTTCACTCTCTCTCTCCTTCTTCTGGCAGTGTAACGAGAAGGTTGCTCTCCTAGTATCCTGGCCAATAATTTCCCCCTCATCCTTTGTTGGATTATGCTGGCGCAGGTTAGCTGCCGTGCCTCCATACAGAGCAACACATTCTACAGTTCAATGAACTAATGTAGACATTTTATAACAACAACAACAAATTGCTTTCATATAGTTAGTTTTATATAGTGATTTTACATTTATAAGGTGTGATTTCAAGTGCAAACATTATTTTTGAAAGATAAACATTGTGGTCTAACATGAGGATTCAATTTAGGATAGTATAAAGTATCAATCAAGAATGTATTCGAATGCACCAGAGATGAACTCCCTGACCCCCTTCCCCTTTCCTCCCTTTAACCCCTTCGTCCCTTCCCCCACTCCTGAGTCCATTTTCACTGATGAAGTACGAGAACTCTGTGGATTTTGGACGTTGCACTGACCTCCCCCACCTACACGTTGGTTGCCATACGAGACCCCAAGAGGAGCGATGATCTGATT